TCGTGGCTGTAGTTTATCCGGCCTGAGTGGTATCAGCTCACGCTGAGTAGTTCTTTGCTGCACAGGAGCCGTGGACTCGCTCCAGGTTTCTGCCTCTGCTGGTCCGCTCCGCCCGCCCCTTTAAGGCTGTCAATCACCTGACTTGGCTTTTAGTCGTAAAATAGATGCATCTGTGCAGGAGTTTTCCTGGGCTGCCTTCTTCCTGGCATTCAGTGGCCTCATTACCCAGGATTTTTATTTGGTAGGTGACTCACCTCTTGTTCAAACGACTCGATCATCTGAGAATCTTAGTGGCTTTCTGTCCACCCACTTCTTGGGGTCCCTGGCCGTTCACTGCCCCCTTGAGGCTGTGTATTTTCTTTCCTTGGATGAGTCAGACGCTCAGAGCTCTGGCCACTGGGGCCGCCAATCTCCACTACCGCCTTCTGAGGCTGCCCCTGAGTAAGGCTGTTGGTGCAGCCGCCGCATATTGTTGGCTTGTAACCACAGATCCAGATGAACCATCTACGTGGGCAGTGAAGCCGGGAAGGAGAGAGAACCAGCCAGTAGGAGGATGCGCTGCCGAGTGGACCACCCTGTGTGATCATTTGCATGGTCCCACGGGACTGTCCTTGGAGACACTGTATAAAACCTGCCTCAGGACAGTCTGTCCCGGGAGAGAAGCAAGACAAATGTATCCACTGACTCCTATGTACCATTAGCCAGCATCACCCCACGGGGCAGGAACTCCTGCACCTGCGGGCTGGACACCCCTGGCGGCGTCCACAGTAAAGCTCTGGTGTGACAGTCAAGACCTGTCAGTGAAGCGTGCAGCCCAGCTCCGTGGTTGCGCTGGAGTGAAACTGGTCACAGCCCTTGCAGGGCAGGCACTTGGTGCCGGGGGGATTAAGAGATGGGGCGGGGGGGGGGGGCAAGAGGATGTCCAGTGCTTCCTAAAAGGCGGTGTCTGTTACAGCAACACTGCGTAAGAATGACATACAGTTTGGGGTTTAATAAATAACTGCCATACTTAGCTGCACTTTTTAGGCAATACATCAAGCGACGCTAGAATTATGTAATAAGAAAAGCAAAGGTGTGGTGGATGGTAGATTCGGAAGAGAAGAGGACCAGGGCGGGGTAATGGGAAGCGTGTAGTTACAGTTAAATGGAGGCTGCGGTCACGAACGAGAGGATTATGATTCATCTGAGCGCCTGAAGTCCAAATAAAACGTGCAAGTTGTCCTTCTGTTCCCGAACCCTGGAGTCGGACGAACTGGGCTCCCCGCGGCCACCAAAAGGCGGCGCTGCGGGCGCGGGCGGCCACCTGCGGGCCCGGTGAGTTTCCCGTTGAAAGGCAGGCCGAGCCCCCGGGGAGCCGCGGCGGCGCCGGGCAGCGCGCCTCGGGCTGGGGACCCCGCTCCCGCTCCTCGGGGAGAACCCGCCCCAGCCCACTGGTCTGGAGGGAGCAGCTGACTTCCTGCGTCTCCCCCCCGCCCCGCCCCCCGCGCCCACCCGCCCCAGCACCGCCGCCCCCGGGGCGGGGTAGTAAACCTGGAGCCCGCAGGCCGCAGCCAGCCCCACGCAAGTTTTGTTTGGCCTAAAAATCCAGATTTCCACTTCGCTCAGTCACTTGGGGCATGAGGGTTTCTTTTTCCTTTTTACAGTTTTGGTCAGATCAATAGAGTGCCCATTTTCCTGGCGGCTATCACTCTTCAGAACTGGGCCCTGCGCGCTTCATACCATAGCATTTCCTCTTTTGCACAATTTTATATATTAATCATGGTCTTTTTTTGGCATAATTACTTATCTATACAGAAAATTACAGTAAATCCTCAACAAGCCACCAGTGGCCTCAGTCTTCTTACAAGGTCCAGAGGCACCAGATATTCTCACCGCGGTCTCCTGAGGAAGTTTCTCCCGGTGTCCACCCCCTCCAACCTGGGCCGGTCGCTGTGTCCATTTGTCTGGTGCCCCGTGGGCAGCCTGGCAGCTCCCTTCAGTGCAGGGGGTGCCTGACTTTTTTTTCTTTTTTAAAGCAGAGAAATCCCCTTTCTCAATCAAAATCCCCCATGAAATTCCATTATATAAAACAGAAAATATAGTATTCATATAAATTACTCATTTACATTTATAACACTGACTTATTATGAAGTGAGTCTAGAAGAGTAATGGGATTAATTTGAAAAGCGTATGATTTGGAGGAAGGAGCTAACTGGGGCTGTAGCCTCATTTTCCATTCATTCCACTGCTTGGTGCTGGTGGCAGGAGTTAGAGGAAGCCTGGCTCGCCCAGGACGTCGTGGAAGGTTCTCAGCCACTCACCTCCCACTCCTGGTGTCTCCCTGGACCAGCCCAGGTGCAAGGCCAGCCTTCCCCAAGGGCTGCATGAGGCCAGGAAGCCTGTGCTGGAGCACGGCCGGCCCAGGGGTTCCCACCGTTCAGTGTTCGCCACTGATAACAGAAGAGTGTGCGTTTTAAGATGTTAACATTACTTTGCACATAAAATCGACATCTGTGAGCTCCTCGGAGCACCTGTGAGAGTTTACAGGCTGCAGTTCAGAAACCACTACAGTGGGGAAAAGATGGGGCTGAGAAGGGGCCCCAAGGTCTGCGGTGTTTCCATGGCAACAGAAGTTAGCTATCCTTGCTAAGGAAGAGGCCTGGGAGGTGGTGGCACAGGGAGTGGGACAGCTCTGGGTCACCTGAGCATCCTGGCTGGAGGCCCAGGCTGAGGGCCGAGCAGGTCACCATGTCTGGAAGAGAAGCTGCCAGGCCCACTGCAGCACAAGGGCTGTGTCAGGCCAGGGCCTCCATCAAGAACACACTTGTGGGGCTTCCCTGGTGGCGCAGTGGTTGAGAATCCGCCTGCCAATGCAGGGGACACGGGTTCGAGCCCTGGTCTGGGAAGATCCCACATGCCATGGAGCAACTGGGCCCGTGAGCCACAACTACTGAGCCTGCGCGTCTGGAGCCTGTGCTCCGCAACAAGAGAGGCCACGATAGTGAGAGGCCCGCGCACCGCGATGAAGAGTGGCCCCCGCTCGCCGCAACTAGAGAAAGCCCTTGCACAGAAACAAAGACCCAACACAACCAAAAATAAATAAATTTATTAAAAAAAAAAAAAAGAACACACTTGTCTCCTCTGGGCCTCCTGCAGACACCAGGGCTACCCGCCTGTGGAGGAAATCAGCTGGCACAGGCTGGCTCTGGCCCCGCCCGGCCTGCCCCCCCAGAGGACCTGGACTCAAATCCCAGCTCTAGCCCTAACCTCACTTCCCCTCGGCTGTCTCCTTGGGTCTCCCTACTCCATGGCCTGACCTTCAGGATAGATGTGCTTCCTAGCGGGGCCCTCAGAGAAAGAGGCAGTACTATGGCTGCACGCCACCTCCTGCAGAGAGAAGCACAGCTAAGCTGTTTTCCAGAGCCTCTCTGAGCAGCAGTCTTTCTTGTGGGTACTGAGAAAACGCCTGTGCAGAGGCCTGCCAGACAAAGGGCACCAGGTCTCTGCTGGCCAGGAGCTGCCCGCTCGTGGGAGATGATGTGGGCAGACCCACTCTGGTCTCATCTCCCAGTGTCCCTAGTGCCCCAGGTGCCAACACCCTATCCCGGGCCTACGGTGGCCACAATGAGCCAAGGCTAGCTCTTGGTCCTTGGGGCAGGTACCTGACTCCCATCCTTCCCCCATGGGTCCAGTCTTCCCTCCTGTCACACCTTGGCTTGGTCCTGCCCAGCTGTCTGCTCAGTGGGTCACCTCCCCATGCTGCGACAGAGTTTGGCTTACGCCTGGGCACTCCCCCTGGGTGAGCAGCCCCAGAGAGCACCTGGTGTAGAGAAGACACACACGTCCTGCAGCCTGTATCCTTTAGACCTGCGACGCTTAGCTGTTAGAACACGGCGCTGGCCCCTGCTGGACTGTGGTGCCTGCTGTGGGGTGTGCGTAATTGGACCTCTGCCTTCCTCCATTTCCCAAGTAGCTTTGCAGCTACTTAGGTGCCTTAGACAGAAGGTCCTGCATTGCTTTAAAAAAAGAAAAAATTGTGGTAAAATATACGTAACATAAAAGTTAACCGTTTTAACAAATTTTAGTTAACACAGCGCAGTGGCATTAATTACATTTAGATTATTGTGCAGCCATCACCACCGTCCATCTCCAGAATGCTTTTTTTTGGCTTCTCGGCATGTGGGATCTTAGTTCCCCGACCAGGGATCAAACCTGTATCCCCTGAAGTGGAAGCATGGAGTCCTAACCACTGGACCACCATGGAAGTCCCAACCAGAATGTTTTCATCTTCCCAAATGGAAACTGTACGCATTAAACATTCACACCAGGGCCCCTCCCTCCAGACCCTGGCAACCAACCACCATTTTACTTCCTGTCTCTAAATTCTGCCTACGCTATGCACTTCATGTAACTAAAATCATACAATATTTGTCCTCCTTTTGTGTCTGGCTTATTTCACTTAACACAATATCTTCAAGGTTCATCCATGGGGTAGCATGTGTCAGAACTGCCCTCTTTTTAAAGGCTGCCTGTGTTGCTTTTGAGTCTTGTGTAAACAGTACTGGCTTCCACCCTTTATATCAATTTACTTTGAAAATACACAAGGACTTCCCTGGTGGCGCAGTGGTTAAGAATCCGCGTGCCAATGCAGGGGACACGGGTTCGACCCCTGGTCCGGGAAGATCCCACATGCCACGGAGCAATTAAGCCCGTGCGCCACAACTACCGAAGCCCGCGCGCCTAGAGCCCGTGCTCCACAACAAGAGAAGCCACCGCAATGAGAAGCCCGCGCATCGCATGAAAGAGTAGCCCCCGCTCTCCGCAACTAGAGGAAGCCTGCGCCCAGCAACGAAGACCCAACACAGCCAAAATTGAATAAATAATTTATAAAAAAGAAAGAAAATACTCAAATCTTGAGAGGCCAGGACCATCTGCACCCTCCGCTCCTCTTACCTCTAGTGGGCCTCCAGGTAGCGCTCACTTCACAGCCTTCTTCTAACTTAATAAGAAATCCTTCTGCAATTGGCCAAGTCAACATTTTATTTAAAAACACACAAACAAGTACACAATGGTAACAACAAGAAAGGAGCCAAGATCTCCTATTTGGGAACAGGCTGACCGCATGGCGTTCCCGTAAGCCTCACTTTAAGAAAGAGGGTACCTTCAAGACCAGATTTCCAAGCGAGATAAATTAGGAGGTGGCTGTGTTTTCATAAGAGGATTTAAGGCAGCGCCCCTTCGAGGTCTGGGGAGAGGGGAAGGGTTCGGCAAAGTATTCAAAAACCACCCCTTCACCTTAACGGGGGGAGGGGCATCAGTCCCTGAGGCGGCTCTAAAGCAGGAGGGAGAGATCAGATTTCCCTGGAGGCTGCTTTTCTTTCCCGGACGGGGAGGAATATTCTCTGAGGAAGTGAAGAAGGCTGGCGAGAGAGGCTGGACCCGCTCAGGAGCCGCAGGAAGGGCCCGTCCCGCACCCACCGGCCCGGGGACCCAGACCCCGGTCTCTCCTGCGGCCGCCGGCTCAAGCCCCTCCATCAGCGTGGGTCACACGTCCTGCAGCGCCTCCTACAGGGCTGGCGGGCTGTTAGGGCATCAGACGGCGGCATCTGGGGAAGGAAGCGGCAGAGTTGGGAGAGCTCGGCCGGCAGGGCCGCCTCACGGCTGCGCATGCGCTGCCTACCCCCGCCCGCACCACCTCCCGTGGGAACGATGATTCCTCTCCCTGCTCCTCTCCACCCCAGGCCCCTTCCTCAGAGGTACTGTAACTTCTTCAGCTGTTTGTTTTGGCTCTTCCTCCGTAATTTTACCTAGTATATGTATACTTACACTTATAGATTACTTTTAGACATTACCTATTAACTTTTTCGCATTCTTTTTTCATCATTCAATTTTTCTTAAACAGCTTCACAGACATATAAGTCATATACCATACAGTTCACCCATTTAAAGTGTTCAATTCCGCCGTTTGCACTATATTCACAGAATTGTGCAGCTACCCCGATTTTAGAACATTCTCGTCACTTCCAAAAGAAGCACCACAGGCATGCGCAGTCACCCCTGTATACCCTCCCGCCAGCCCTAAGCAACCCCTACCCTACTCTCTGTCTCTGTGGATTTGTCTATTTTGGACATTTTTCCTAAATGGAATCCTACAATATGTGGTCCTTGGTGACTGGCTCCTTTCACCTAGCCTTCTGTTAGCTTTTTGCCAGTGGGACCATTAAGATTGAAGCGCTGCTGTTGGCAACCTCTCTGCTGGGCAAGGTAAGGTGCTTCGATATTTTAAATGTATTTTTAAAAAACAAAGAAAAAGAAGAAAGAAAGGAAGTGCTGGATCAAAGAAAGAAGTAAATTAACCGAAATAGCTGGTTTGATTTTCAGCAATTCTATTTCTAGAAATTTATTCTAAAGATAAAATATATTAAGTGTGTGTATAGGGATATATTTACAAGGATATTCATTACAGCACTGTTTAGTAGGAAAGAATTTAAAAAAAAAAACAAACATAATGCCCCCAAATAGGAGACAAGTAAACTACGGCACCGACATGCAATGGAGCCAGTGCAACACCGTGGAGCCACGAAGGATGCCAGAGAAGGACACCTAATGATGTGGGGAAAGTGCCTGACAGGAGGCTAGGTAGGAGCAGAAGAGAAGGTTACAAAATAATACATGAACTCTGATCCTTTAATAAATGCACATGTGTTGGGACTTCCCTGGCGGTCCAGTGGTTAAGACTCTGTGCTTCCACTGCAGGGAGCATGGTTTCGCTCCCTGGTCGGGGAACTAAGATCCTGCCAGCCGCACGGGGCAGCCAAACAAACAAAACAAGCACATCTCTCTCTATATATATATACTCAGGAAATGCAGGAGGGAGAGACACCCAGCAGGTGCTATTTCTGGGTACTGTGATAATGGTTTTTATTTTTTTTAATTTCTTTTTCTTATTTCGATTTTCTAAACGTACTACATTTTATTTTTGTCATTAGGAAACTCATTTAAAGAAAACGCTTGGCCATCAGAGACGCAGAGAGACGGAGCAGAGGGTCCTCTGCAGCAGGGTGGCTCCCTACTGCCGAGCTCCAGAGCCTGTGTCCTCCCGTGCCTGAGCAGAGGGAACCTTCTTGGTCATGTTTTCAGACCAGAACTCACCTGTTGACTGGGTCACGCACGAGATCTTGTAGGACAGCCACACGCTCGCCAGGCAGAGGAAGGTGGCCAGGAAGCCAAAGATCTGCACGGGAGAAAGAGGGCAGCAGACGCCCAGGCCAAGGGCAGTCACTCGGGCAGCCCCTTCTGCTGCTCATCCCTGGGCCTGTTTCCTATACCAGCTGTGGCTGGGAGGGAGCTCAGGGACTCAAGTGACCCGGCCGCCTGTCCTCGCTCAGGTGTGGAGGTGATGCCCGGGCCCTGGCCGGGCCCGCAGCTGGGACACAGTCAGGCCTCCGGTCGCCACCCCTCGCCTCTTCTCTAGGCAGCTACCTGCCCACGCTCGGGTTTATGTTTACAACAGAGCCGGGGGCCAAGCCACCGGACTTTAATTATCCTGGGCTAATAAGACAGAAAAAGGAGGAACGGTACCTTTTAATTTGGGTTTTTAACACATTAACGTTCAAGTGGATTTTCTTGGCGTGGTAGCATCATGTGCACTTCACCCATAAAGGCTTTCTGTCCGTCTGCCTTTACAGCTGTGTCGGAGCCAGAAGCTGAGGCCCCAATGCCTAGGCTTAGGTTTGCATGTATTTCAGTAACATTAGGCTGAAGTAAGTTCAGGCAGCGTGCCTTTCCTTTCTGTGCTCAGCTGTGAGCACCTAGCCCAGAGCAGCTGCCTCATCTGTGGTAAGGAAAGGGCCTCACGGTGGCGCATTAAATGATGGAGCAAGAAACAGGCAGGGACTCAGGTGTCTCTGCCTGGAACTTGGAAGCCTGCAGCCTCTCCTGACTGAGCACTTACTTCGTACCAGGCAGTGTTCTAAGCCCTTTAAAGGAACCCGCACAGCTCTGCCAGGTGGGCACGGCTGTTACGTCTCCCCCCATTTTTCAGCTCAAGAAACCAGGGACAGGAGGTCAACTCTTCAGCCCAGGAATGTGGAGCCAGCAAGGGCCAGACCAGAGATCTGAGCCCAGAGTCCACCTCTGCTTGCCTGTTGCCCAGGTGTCCTCGGGCCCTCCAAGTGCACGGCTGGGAGCTCCCTGAGGTCCAGCCCAGGAGCAGCCAGACCAAGCGCGGGATCATCCAACCTAGCTGCTGGTTTCCACACGTGGCTGCCCGTCACCCCACCCCCGACCCCGTCCATTGCCGTGCCTCCTTCTGTACCAAGTGTCTGCACCACATAATCAGCCTGTTAGAGCCTGTCCTGGCCTCTCATTGTCTGTTCCGCACAATTAGCACATTATACACCATCCCAGTCTCCAACTGTCCACACTGCATAACTGAACAGTTTATTATCGGGCTACACAATGCTCCTCTGGATGACAGTGCCTTGTGTGCTCATTGTTTCATGTGCCCCGGCCTAAGCTAGATCACCACTTTCTCATCAGCAGGGACCATGTCTTTTCATTTCTCCTGGCCCCTTGCCCGGCCCATGCTTGGTCCTAGGCACAGAGATCGTGTACGACAAATGGGGTTTACTGGGATTCCAGGGCTAACGTTGTCATGTGCCACCTCAATGAGGAAACCCAGTGGGAATCTCCCCGCGTGGTCCTGAAACACAGCGGGCGCCAAGCTCTTCTGTCCCCCCCTCCGCCAGCCTGCCTGCAGCTGGGCAGGGGGCAACCATTCCTCTTCTTGGAAACTGCCTGGGGAGGGGGGGAAGGTGCGTAGGGGGCAAGAGTGCTCAGGGGTTTGGCTGCCCCTCCGCGGTGACCTTCTGCCCCATGCAGACTCCACCCCTCCGTGGAATTCCAGGCACTCATCCACTCTTGGCCCAAAGTCCAGAGAATTTTGGTACCGTGCGGAAGTGAGTGACTATCACACAGAGAGCTTTTCTTCAAACTTATTTGAAAAGTGAGGCAAATCAGTTCTGGCCTACAGACTTCCAAACTGTAAACAATTAGCTAAATCAGAAATCAGATGACAGCAATCTATAGATCTTTTTACAATAATGTATATACACATATGTGTATCTGTGTGATAAATATATATAGCTCCCATAGCACTATGTTTTGTCCACTTCCATGCTACTTCTATTCATGTTAGCAGATGGGTCAATTTTCACCTATGAAAGGTATAGGAGTGTTATTTCCTGGCCTGAATACTGTTAAAGTCAGGAAGGGCAAAGCTAGCACTCACGGCAGATTATCACTAGCTGATCACAAAAATGTTCCCCTGGGCTGGAAAAAGGCCTCAGAACCTTTCCCTGAATGGGGCTGAGACAGCCATGAGCAAATGACCAGAGTGAACACGAGAATTAAAACCTACTTGCCCCGTGATTTAAGGAGTGGCTGTAAGAGAAAGAGGCCTGGGCCGCTGGGGCCATTTGAGTTCGTTACAGCCCTGCCCATCCACCTTCTGACACCCTCCACCGTGGGCCCAAGTTTAAGGCTATTTGGAGACCACTGCTGGTGGATCAAGGTCCAGACTGATTCTGAGAAAGAAAGGCCCCAGAGAACAACCCCTTTGCTGCCCTGAGAGGAAGAAAATGAGCATTCGGAACAGGAATTCACTCCTGCCGCTTCCCGGAGAATGTCCTCACCGCTCCAGCCACCAGTCGGCTCTGGTTGTAACTCTTGGAAGCTGCCACGATGGACGCGATTAGGAGAAGCAGGGTACCGATTAAATAGTGCAGGAGTTCCTGGGGGCAAAAACAAAGCAGAGCAGTGGGTAGGGAGCTCCATTCCTGGTTCTCAGAGGCACCTGGGTGTTAGGAGAGATGAATGGAGGGGAGGGAGTGACACTTCCTCTTCTCCCTGTAACACCCCGGCAGGAGCAGCGAAGCTCACTGGCAACGAGAAAGGAAGGCCAGCCAGAATGAGGCCACACAAGAGAGAAAAGACGCCAGGCAGGCAGGAAGAGAGGCGACAAAGAGAAAGGATGCTTCTCGTAAGGACCACTCCACTCTTGAGGTCAATCTGTCCACGGTACCTTGACCTCCGGCCAAAGCTACTAACAAGCAAATGAGCTGCTTCTAACTCCAAGGATGGAGAGTTTAAATGAAGCTCCAGCTCTGAGAAGCAAAGCCCGTTAAAAAGATGTGTGCCTTTGCTTCTGCTTCAGAGAAAGTTCTGCGCTAGCAATGTGCTGGTTTTGGTGGCTGCCTGGAGGGTCTCCCCATTCCGTGAACAAAAGTCCTCCCAGTTCTGTCCTCATTTTGTCTTCCCTCTTCTTTTCTGTTGGAAGTGTGCCCTCAGGCCAGACTGCTGAGGGGTCTGCAGGAAGGGCTGACTCTGCCTTTGCTTCCCTTGGGTCCACAGGGGCATCCATTTCTGCCCCATTCACTCTCCATGATAAAATGGGGTCTTTGCAGGCCCTGGATGAGGCGGGGCCTCTATCATTCGACAACAAAGGAATGCTTCGCCTCATCCTTTCCCCTCCCCACAAACGCCAGATCAGAGGAGAACTGGGGCTTAGGGCCACTGACAGTGGGGTGTGCTCCCGAGAAAAATTTATAGCTGTCAAGGCTTATATTAAACATGAAGAAAGGTTTCAAATTAATAACCTAACCTTTACCTTAAGACACTGGAAAAAGGAAAGCAAACTAAACCTAAAGCAAGAAGAAAGAGGGAAATAAAGATTGGAGCAGAAATGAATGATACAGAGAACGGAAGAAAAATAGAGGAAATGAATGAAATCAATAGCTGGTTCGTTGAAAAGGTCAACAGAATAGAGAAACCTTTAGCTAGACTGATCAAGAAAAAAAAAGAAAACATTCAAATGACCAGAATCAGAAATGAAACACAGATGGGAATCCCCTGGTGATCCAGTGGTTAGGACTCAGTGCTTTCACTGCTGGGGCCTGGGTTCAATCCCTGGTCTCGAAACTAAGGTCCCACAAGCAAAGAGGCGTGGCCATAAATAAATAAATAAATAAAAGCGGGGACATCACTACTGGTGTTACAGAGATAAAAAGGATTTTAAAAGAATACTATGATCAATCATATGCCAATAAGTTAGATAACTTAGATGAAATGGAGATATTCCTAGAAAGACATGCTACTGAAAATGACTCAAGTAGGAATAATCTGAATAAAATTTATAATAAGTAGAATTTGAATTAATAATAAAAACACTACCCACAAGAAAAGCTCAGGACCAGGTGGCTTCACTGCAGAATTCTACCAAACATTTAGAGAAGAATCAATTCCAACTCTTCCCAAACTCTTCTAAAGAACACAAGAGGAGGGAACACTTCCCAGATCATTCTATGAGGGTAATATTACCCTAGTAACAAAACCAGACATCACAGGAAAACTAAAGACCAATAATATATCTTATGAATACAAACGCAAAAATCCTAGCAAACCAAATCCAGCTCCACATAAACTGAATTATACACCACAGCCAATCAGAATTTGTCCCAGGAATGCAAAGTTAGTTACACATGTGAATATCAATGTAATATGCCATATTAATAGAATCCTGGGGGGAAGACCTACATGACTATCTCAATAGACAAAGAAAAAGCATTTGACAGATTATAACACCCTTTCATGATGGAAACAACAAAGTAGGACTAGAAGGTAAGTTCTTCTATTTGATAAACCTCCTACAAAACCCCCACCTAACATCATATTTAACGATAAAAGATGAGTGCTTTCCTCCTAAAATAAGGAACAAGATAATGATATCTGCTCTTGCCACTTTAATGCAACATTCAACTAATTTCTTGCAATGAGCCAAGAAAATGAAGCAAAAAGCATCTAGATTGGAAAGGAATGTAAAACTGTCTCTATTCACAGATGGTATGCTCTTATAGATAGATTTGAAAATCCTAAGGAATCCACTAACAATCTATTAGATCTAATAAATGATTTCAACAAGATTGAGGCTACAAGATCAATATACAGAAATCAATTGTATTTCTATCCACTTGCAATGAACACTCCAAAAATGAAATTAATAATTACAGTTGAAATAGTATAAAAAGGATAAGATACTTAGGAACGCACTAAACAAAAATAGTATAAAACTCATACTCTGAAAACTACAAAACATTGTTGAAAGAATTTTTTTTTTCTTTTTTTTGCAGTATGCGGGCCTCTCACTGTTGCGGCCTCTCCCATTGCGGAGCACAGGCTCCGGACGCACAGGCTCAGCGGCCATGGCTCACGGGCCCAGCCGCTCCGCGGCATGTGGGATCTTCCCGGACCGGGGCACAAACTCGCTTCCCCTGCATCGGCAGGCGGACTCTCAACCACTGCGCCACCAGGGCAGCCCAAGAAATTTTAAAAGATCTAAATAAATAGGAAAACCTCCCATGTTCATGGATCATGACTTAATATTGTTAAAATGGTAATACTCTCCAAACTTATCTACCGATTCAATGCAATTCGTATTAGAATCCCGGGTGACTTCTTTGTAGAAACTGAAAAGCTGATTCTAAAGTTCATATGGAATGGCAAAAATCCAAAACAATCCTGAAAAAAGAGGACAAATGGGAAGACTCACACTTCCTAATTTCAAAACTTACTGCAAATCCATAGTGATCAAGGTAGTATAGTAAGATAAGTGCAACAGAGTTGAGAGTCCAGAAATAAATCCATGCATTTATGGCCAACTAATTTTCAACAAGCTGCCAAGACCACTCAATGGGAGAAAGAACAGCCTTCCCAACAGATAACTGGGACAACAGGATATTCACATGCAAAAGAATGAAGCTGAATCCTTGCTTCATACTATATGCAAAAATTAACTCAAAATGGATCAAACACCTAAATGTAAGAGCTAAAAGTATGGAAGGCTTAAAAGAAAACACAGAGGTGAATCTTCATGATCTTGAATTGGCAATGGCTTTTTAGATATTATACCAAAACCATAAACAACAAAAGAAAAATATAAATTAGATTTCATCAAGTAAAGAACTTGTCCTTTAACAGATACTATCAAGAAAGTAAAGACAAAAAGAAAAGAAAAAGAAAAAATTATGGGAGAAAATATCTGATAAAGGACATTTAACTAGAATATACAAAGAACTCTTACAACTCAATAATAAAAAGACAACTTAATCAAAAAATTGGCAAAGGATCTGAAAAGACATTTCTCTAAAGAAAATATACAAATGGCCAAAAAGCACATGAAAAGATGACTAGCACCATTAGTCATCAGAGAAATGCAAATCAAAACCACAAGCTGTAACTTCACACTCACTGGAATAAAATCTCAGTCAGAAATAACAAGTGTTGACAAGGATGTGGAAAAATTCGAACCTTTATACACCGCTGCTAGGAATGTAAAGTGGTACATCCACTTTGGAAAACAGTCTGGCAGTTCCTCAAACAATTAAACATAGTTACCATGTGACCCAGCAATTCCACTCTTAGGTATATTCCCAAGCAAAATGAAAATATGTCCACACACAAAATTTGTACACAAAATGTTCATAGCAACATGATTCATAATTGACAAAAGGTGGAAATTCATAATTGCCACATGTCCATCAATGATGAATGAATAAACAAAATGTGGTATATCCTTTCCATGGAATATTAGCTATAAAAAGAAATGAAGTACTGATATATGCTACAACATAGATCAACCATGAAAACCCTCTACTAAATGAAAGAAGCTAGTCACAGAAGACCAAATATATGAGTCCATTTACATGATATGTCCAGAATAGGAAAAGTTACAGAGGCAGGAAGCCAATTAGTAGTTGCTCAGGGCTGGAGGTGATGAGGGATAGGAGGTAACAGCTAAAGGGTACAGAGTTTCTTTTTGAGGTGATGAAAACATTCTAAAAATAACTGAGGTAATGGTTACACAAGTCTGGGAATACACTAAAATTCATTGAATTGTACACTTCAATGGGTAACTGTATGACATGTGAACTATATATCAATAAAGCTGTTTTTAAAAAGAACATAGTGGGAAGAAAAAACCCTAGCAACTTCTGACATATTTCCTCAGACTCTGCCAGTCCACTTTAGCTGACAAATCTTATCAATACTCACACAGTGTAAATACCCATTACCCCTATCAGCTTCTTCCTTCTATGTTCCTCCTCCAAGTCACACACACGCACAGCCCATTTTCTGTCACTTGAGAAAACAAGCACTGAGGTGAGAGGCACAGCCTTCTTGTAGCTGGAAGGTGAGTTTTAGAAACCAGTGGTGAGTTTTAGAAACCAGTGGGATATGAGGCATAGACGTGCACCCAACAGTGGGAAATTCAGAGCTGAAGCAGCCAAGGATGGTGCAGGAGGCGGGGTAGGCAGACAAGAAGGACTCCGTCAGGTCTCAGTGCCCAGCCTGCATCCTGACTCGTGCAAGCCGAGAGCAGGCCCGGCCACTCCCTTACCGACAGGGGCCAGCTGATACAGGTGAGCACGCGGTACAGGCGGAAGAGGTGGACCAGGTAAAAGGCGAGAATCATGATCAAGTTGCAAATGGTGACCACTTCAAAGTAGCTGTAGGCACTGTAGCTGGTCCACAGAGAGTTCCTCACGCAGATGAAGGCAATCAGCAGCGAGACCTGGGACGTGAACACAGAGATATCAGAGAAATGCCCACCCAAGATGGGCACCCAGGGAACGAACAACAACACAACAGAAACACAGACAACCACAGGGGACCGAGGAGCTGCCACAATCCAGGTTACCCCATCACAAACTGGCTGGAACAGTGTAATTTCCCACAGTACAAGCTTTTGAAACACAAGCCATTGTGAATGCCAAGGACGGCAGAGAGTGGTCTGTTCTCTCTGTTCTCTGAGGTCCATGTGCTGGCAGGATGCATCCTCAGAGAGAGGGCAGGAATTCTGGAAATAACCAGGCAGGACCACCTCCCTTATTTGCTGGACCTCCACCGAGTCAGCGTGATATTGAACCCCAGGTATCCATGTTAGGTTGAACTGAAGGAACTTGCCAATATTTGACTGTTTTTGACCCACCAAGATGTCAGTTCATACGTATAACCTACCAGCTGGCAGACAGTAAGTTACTGTCAACGAAAAATCAAATAACCAGCAAGCTAAGAAGAAAGAAAAGAGAATTGTATTCGAGCCAAACTGAGTACTATAACCTGGGAAACAAATTATCAGAAGCTCTGAGAACTGCTCCATTGATCAGGCGTTAGAAATGCAGTTTTATATATATTTTTAATAAATTTATTTATTTATTTTTGGCTGCATTGGGTCTTTGTTGCTGCCCATGGGCTTTCTCTGGTTGTGGCGAGCGGGGGCTACTCTTCGTTGCAGTGCGTGGGCTTCTCACTGCGGTGGCTTCTCTTGTCGCGGAGCATGGGCTCTAGGCGTGCAGGCTCAGTAGTTGTGGCGCACGGGCTTAGTTGCTCCACAGCATGTGGGATCTTCCCGGACCAGGGCTCGAACCTGTGTCCCCTGCATTGGCAGGCGGATTCTTAACCACTGTGCCACCAGGGAAGTCCCACAGTTTTATATATTTTTGAGACAAAGAAATTATGTATCATATTGACAGGTTAGCATTGTGTACACAGTTCCTCAAGTGTTTGTTTTTTTTTCAATTATGCATGTAGAGACAAACTTTTTAGTTAATGCAACCCCTTATAGAAGATGAAAAAGAAATATATTAATCATAGAATTACAATGCTGGCATGTGAAGAAAGGGGCCAGCTTTTTCTCAAAGGTTGATCTCATCCTCCTGCTTTGAGGAGGTCTGGTTAATGTGTAATGCAGATGCACACTGCCCATGGGGTAAGGCCTACCACAAAGGGGGCACGTCATTTGTTGTTGCTATTTTTGTTTTTTTCTGTTTGTTTGTCCTGCCATAGAAAATTTACGATTTTCCTCGTAGTTACCACTTACTGATGCTTGATGTACATGATCTCCTTGAGACTCCCCACAACTCTGCCAGGTCAACAAGATCACCCCCATGCTCATAAGGGGAAATGGAGGCACACAAGCCTCCATAATTAGCTTAAGGCTACGTCCACTGTAAGCTGCGGAGGCACGATTTGAACCTTAGTCTATCTGATTCCAGGGATCGTGTTCCTCCAAGTCAGATGCAGCTTTGCCTTCCAAAAACTATGAGCCCTCACCACAAACGACCTGAGGAAGGCAGATGTGCCATCAAATGTGTGGGAATCCTGGCTACAAGGTGGTGCTTGCTCCCCGCTGGGCCTGCGGTGAGAGCATGCTAAGTATATTGTTACATGAATGAATGAGTGTGCAGAATAAATAAACTAATGACCTAGTACTAATGAATGAACGATCAGGTCAATTATTAGCAACATAAGAATACCATGGAAGGGCAGACTGGAAGAGGGGAGAGAAGGTTCTGAGTTTCTGGGAAGGCCACTCACAGAGAACAAAGTCTTGTTCACCCCACACAGGGGATAAACCAATAATACACAGGTGTTAAACGTATGTAAAGTCTCAGGGTCTATTTTAAAAGCACAACTAATTTAGGACAAAGGTTAAATATTTCACACTGCCTCTTTCCTACAGAACAGTGATTCTCCAAGGGTGTGATTTCGTGTCCTATGGGACATTTGGCAATGTCTGGAGACACTCCTGGTTGTCACAGTTGCAGGGGGGATGCTACCCACCCTCCACAATGCACAGGACAGGCCCTCAAGTGTAGCCTTCAAACTACTGTCCTACTGTGGAGAAACCCCGCTGTAGAAAATTGAGTCTACAATGAGAATTAGATCACGAAATGGATCTAACGCTGGTTAAAGAGGCTAACGCTAAAAACTCTATTTTCCAAAGCCCCTCATTGCTAGCATTCTACCAAGGTCCTCGGGTACAGGGACACCAGCTCGCGAAGAACACTCAGCTTAAGCCTAAAGTGGGCGTGAAGAGTGTTCTGCTTAACAGGTCAAAGCAGAAGAGTGTGGCCCTGACACACAGGGACCCTCAACATTTGCGTATTTCCCTTTGCTAATGAGCAGCATGAGGATTTTCATTTTCTCAGTTCCTCTCCAGCCAGCCCGCCACAGTGATACAATGATTCACACCTTGAGGTTGTTTTAAAGCCTCAAAGGGAGGCTTTGCTTCACTCAGGAGTGTGCATGATGGTCAGAGCTCTGCTGCCCTATAAGCCCCCATTTCCAGGCCTCGTCTCTCTGGGGATTCTGGGGGGTCTCCCCAGCCTTTCACTGACCCTCTCACACACACTGGGGCATTTTAATTCAAGGCCTGCCTTAAAATGCAAATAACCCAGGATTATGCAGTGGATTTCTAGGTGGAGAAGCTGTTTTGCACCTAATTCAAAGACTAGAATAATTTTTATAAGTCTTCATCTGTGACAAAGTCTGCAGACACATGGGTGGGAATTTCCCCAACCAACGAAAGGGGCCCGGGCAGGTCCTCCCCTCTGAGCCCCGGGGCTGAGCGCCGTGCAGCAGGAAGTACATTATTGCTCTACCCCAAACTGTCTCAGACCTCTCTGGGAAATCTGACTGTTAAATAAGACTTCCTGAATTCTGACCCCTGGGTCTCAGGCCGCCTACCACGTGCTCTTCTCCAGCAGAGCCCAATTTTGGACAATCTCGTTTAGACAGCGGATGGTGTGTACTTGTGTACATTACCAAAAGTGTCCTTTTTGCCGAAGCAGTCATTTATTACTACTTTAGCTAGCCAGCATCTTAGCTAGTGCACTTAAGAAAAAAAGAGAGACTTGATTGACTCTAAACTTTCCAAGAACTCCTCCAGGGCCAGTGGGTAACCTCTGCAAGTGCCCTGAATCCTCTAGATCAATACTTAGGGGTCAGCCAGGAAGGTGAAGCAGAAGAAAGAACAGACAATGGAAAGAAAAGGCCTGGGATGTGGGTGACTGCTCCGCCCCCTGCAACCAGCCCTCTCATGACCTCTTCTTCCCCCACCCTTTTTAAAAATTTGAAGTAGAGTTGATTTACAATGTTGTGTTAGTTTCAGGTGTACAGCAAAATAATTCAGTTGTGTGTGTGTGTGTGTATATATGTGTGTGTACATATATATATATCAGTTATACATATATGTTCTTTTTCAGATTCTTTTTCTATTATTCAATATTACAAGACATTGAATATAGTTCCCTGTGCTGTACAGTAGGACACTGTTGTTTATCTATTAGGACCTTTTCTTGTTCTCAGTGAGAAAAGCCTGAATTCAGAGAAACTGAAGTGAAGAAGGCTGGGAGGCTTTTGGAAGACACATACGGTTCTGTTTATTCATTTATTTTTTCTTAAAAATTTATTATTAGTTTTTGGCTGTGCTGGGTCTTCGTTGAGGCACTCGGGATCCTCGTTGCGGCATGTGGGACCTTTTAGTTGCGGCATGCAGATTTCTTAGTTGCAGCATGCATGCGGGATCGAAGCCGAGCCCCCTGCATTTGGGAGCATGGAGTCTTACCCACTGGACCACCAAGGAAGTTCTGGCTCTGTTTAGAGTAACGTCAATGTGATACCACCTAAAAGGACTCAATTGTTTCTCTGGGTGCTTCCTAGCTCCTCTCATAAAGGTCTGTTCTTTTTTAATTTATTATTATTATTATCTTTTTTGGCCTCACTGTAGGAGCTTAGTGCCCCGTGCCCCGACCAGGGATCAAACCCATGCCCCCTGCAGTGGAAGTGAACAGTCTTAACAACTGGACCATCAGGGAAGCCCCAGGTCTGTTCTTTTATAATGAACTGTCATGAAAGTTGAAAATAAGGTATCTAACATAAATGTCCAGGGGTTTAAAAGTCATGTTGCAAGAACCCTCAACTCAAAGCCGGGCCTCAGACGCCCCGTGGCGCTGTCTACAGACACTGGCTTTCCCTCAGACTAGAAACCACTTCCTCTCCCTCAAACTGTGTCCTTTCTGACTCCATGCTATCAGAATTCTTACCAGAAAGAAGAGATAATTTTTGTGAAAGGAGGAGATAATTTTTGTGAAAGCAGCAGTGTGTTTCAATTTCACAGGAGACGAAGCACACTGAACGTTACCTGAAAGAGACGATCGACCCCTGAGAATTTTGGAACTAAAACAGGCTGGTCCCTAAGTCCACGGCCAGGTGCTAGGCAGCAGGCCCAGGCCTGGGTGGGTCTCCCTCAAGGAGGAAATGGAATTTTGAAGTCTAAGATGGACAAGTTCTGGAGAAGCCTCCAGAGGCAGTGCTCAGGAGATGACCTCTGGTGGTCTCAGGGTCCCGGCTGCCTGTGCCCAGGGACATTCCCTCGGCAGGCCTGTCCCCCAGTGCCCTGCCACGTCTGGGGCACTGAGTGTGCCTGTGTCTGGCTGCAGATGGCACCAGACACCTTTGTTTGAGAGCCCGGGGCTGGATGCCAGCAGGTCACCCACCCCACCCTCTCGCAGGGTTTTTATTCTGACCTTGGGATAATGTCTCAGTGAGAGAGACAGGCAGGAGGAGAGAAAGTAACTGATAAAAGGCAACATCAAAAGGCCTCAGACCAACTCTAAGAGGCTTTTCTGGAAAAGCCCAGGAGATGAAAGCCAAGCTTGTTCAAAAAGTCAGAGATGTGGACGATGATGCAGGGATGGGAAACTGCATTTGTAGATTCAAGCAGGCCCC